AAAAAACATAAAACACAGAGGTGTTAGTTTTTTTAAATTTTATTTTAGTGACTTCTAAGTACAATTTTTTGTGTTTAGTATTTTTAAGCGCGGCTGTAGTTTAGTTGGTTAGAACGCCTGCCTGTCACGTAGGAGGTCGAGGGTTCGAGTCCCTTCAGCCGCGCCACTAAAATTTACTAAGTTTTATTTTTCCTCACAAGTACTTCTTTATAAAAAAACAGATATTCTATAGCTATCAAAAATAGGATATATAAATGTTTCGAGCAAAAAGCTTATACCACCTTATTGTATATAGTATTTTATTCATTGTAATACTAATCTCTTTTTTCACTTTTATCATTATTAGCAATGCTCATGAAGAGTTGCAAGACAAAATAGAAACACTAAAAACAGACTACACAAACAGCCAAAAAGAATTAATAAAAAATGATGTTAATTCTGTAATAAACTTTATTAAATATTATGATACAAAATATAAAAATTCTAAATCAAAAGAAGAAAGACAAAAAGATGTATTAGAAGCCTTACTGAAACTTAGAATTTCAGATAATATAAGCGACTACATTTTTATTTACAATTTTGATGGGATAGCCTTATATCTACCAATTTCAAAAGATAAAATAGGTAAAAAATACCTTGAATTAACAGATGCTGAAGGTAAAAAAGTAATAAAAGAGTTAGTTGAAGCATCAAAAAAAAATACAGGAGGTTATGTAGAATATCTTTGGTATAAAATTGATGTATTTAAGGATACAAAAAAAATATCTTATGCAAAATCTTATGATGAATGGAACTGGACAATTGGAAAGGGAGTTTACCTTGATGAAATTGATAAACTAGTGAGTGAAAAAGATGAAGAGTATAATCAAAAAATATCAAACTATACACTTCAAATAACATCATTAACTATTATGTTAGTACTTTACTCTGTATTTATATATAAAAATGCAACGATATTAATTGTAAATGATGTAAAAGAGATTGGAAAATATTTTAAAGAATCTCAAAAAGATGATAAACCTATGAACCAAAATAGACTTATTTTTGGTGAGTTCAAAATTATTGCAAATTATGCTACTGATGCTATGAATAATATAAAACTTAAAAATCATATGCTTGAAGATTTAAATAAAAATCTTGAATATAAAGTTT